GACAGAACAAGGCTCTGTCTCAAAAAATAATAACAATAAATAAAAATAAAATTATTTAATTAGCCAAGCATGGTGGTGTGTGCCTGTAGTTCTAGCTAATTTGAAGGCTAAAGCAGGAGGATCACTTGAACCCAGGAGTTTGAGGTTGCAGTGAGCCATGATCGCACCACTGCACTCCAGGCTGGGCAACAGAGCAAGTCCTGTTTCTAAAAAAAAAAAAAAAGCAAACAAGGTAATAATAGCAGTACCTGCTTCCTCACATCTCTGATGATCCACTTGCATGCTACTTCCTACTGTGAGTATGAGAATTAAATAAGCTGCTACTTTTTTTTGTTTTTTTTGAGACAGTTTTACTTTTTTTTCTTTTGAGACAGTCTTGCTCTTTTTGCTAGGCTGGAGTGCAGTGGCATGACCATGGCTCACTGCAACCTCCGTCTCCCAGATTCAAGCAATTTCCCTGCCTCAGCCTCCTGAGTAGCTGGGACTACAGGCACACACCACCACGCCCGGCTATTTTTTTTTTTTTTTTTTTTTTTTTTAGTAGAGACAGGATTTCACCATGGCCAGGATGGTTTCCATCTCCTGACCTCATGATCCACCCACCTCGGCCTCCCAAAGTGCTAGGATCACAGGCGTAAGCCACCGCGCCCAGCTCCAGAATTTTCCCCTTGTTGCCCAGGCTGGAGTACAGTGGTGCGATTTTGGCTCACTGCAACCTTCGACTTCTGGTTTCAAGTGATTCTCCTGCCTCACCCTCCTAAGTAGCTAGGACTACAGGCATGCACCACCATGCCCAGCTAATTTTTGTATTTTTAGTAGAGACTGGGATTCACCATGTTGGCCAGGCTGGTCTGAAACTCTTGACTTCAGGTGATCTGCCCACCTCAGCCTCCCAAAGTGCTGGGATTACAGGCGTGAGCCATGCACCTGACCAAGAAGCTGCTACATTTAAGTTGCTTGATAAGGGCTTAAAACATTTCAGCTGTGCCGGGCGCGGTGGCTCACGTCTGTAATCCCAGCACTGTGGGAGGCCGAGGCGGGTGGATCACGAGGTCAAGAGATCAAGACCATCCTGGTCAACAAGGCGAAACCCCGTCTCTACTAAAACAACAAAAAATTAGCTGGGCATGGTGGCGCGTGCCTGTAATCCCAGCTACTCAGGAGGCTGAGGCAGGAGAATTGCCTGAACCCAGGAGGCGGAGGTTGCGGTGAGCCGAGATCGTGCCATTGCACTCCAGCCTGGGTAACAAGAGCGAAACACCGCTCCTTTTCAAAAAAAAAAAAAAAAAAATTTTCAGCTGTAAAACATCGTCAATATAGTTAGTGCTATTTTCCCTAAAGGTGCACCACAGCCTGCTTCCCTGTAACCTCCATACTTTAGGTCTAGCCCTGTCCCTTGGAATTCACCTGCAGCTTATTCCTATGTTCTGCATTTCTCTTTTTTTTTTTCATTTTTGAGACAGAGTCTTGCTCCATCTCCCAGGCTAGAGTGCAGTGATGCCATCTTGGCTCACTGCAACCTCTGCCTCCTGGGCTCAAGCGATCCTCCCACCTCAGCCTCTTAAGTAGTTGAGACCACAGGTACGCACCATGACACCTGGGTAATTTTGTATTTTGGTAGAGACAGAGTCTCCCCATGGCTGGTCTCAAACTCCTGGGTTCAAGTGATCTGCCTACCTCGGCCTTGCAAAGTGTTGGCACTACAGGCATGAGCCACTGTGCCTGGTCCATGTCTCAATTTTAATTTTCTCCTGATACCAGATTTTCTTTTCTTTTCTTTTTTTTGAGACAGGGTCTCCCTCTGTCACCCAGGCTGGAATGCAGTGGCACCATCTCGACTCACTACAACCTCCACCTCTCAGGTTTAAGCAATTCTTCTGCTTCAGCCTCCCGAGTAGCTAGGATTACAGGCGCCCGCCACCACACCCAGCTAATTTTTTTTTCTTTTTGTATATATATTTTTTTCTTTTTGTATTTGTAGTAGAGACAGGGTTTCAGCATGTTGGCCAGGCTGGTCTTGAACTCCTGACCTCAAGTGATCTGCCTGCCTTGGCCTCCCAAAGTACTAGGATCACAGGCGTGAGCCACTGCACCTAGCCACTTGATGCCAGATTTTCTTTTTGCAAGTTCCATTTTTCATCATGCAAACATAATTTCCCCAAGATCATGGTTTCTTCTTTGTCAGAGTCACTGGTTGTTTGCCAGGCAAGCTCAATTTTACCAGACACACAACTGCGGGGGGTGGGAGAATGTAGCTTCGAGGCCTCACCTCCTGCCCTAACAGACCTGCTTGTTTGCTTCCGGCATTTTGCATTCCTTGTATTTGGAATCCCTGTCAGTGGGCCCCTCTGACTGCATACCCTAAGCATCTGCCCTCAGGGCAGGATGATGTCATGAGGAAAGGCCTGGACAGAGCCAGACTGAGCTAAGTTTAAATCCAGACTCTTCCACTTACTTGCCATGTGATCTTGGCTGAGGCCCTTAGTCTCCCTAAGTAAGCCTCAGTTTCCTCATCTGCAAAACAGGACTAATGATAATCTTGCCACCGGGCATGGCGGCTCGTGCCTGTAATCACAGCACTTTGGGAGGCCGAGGCATGTGGGTCACCAGAGGTCGGGAGTTCGAGACCAGCCTGACCAACATGGAGAAACCCTGTCTCTACTAAAAATACAAAATTAGCCGGGCATGGTGGCACATGCCTATAATCCTAGCTAATCGGGAGGCTGAGGCAGGAGAATCACTTAAACCCAGGAGATAGAGGTTGCGGTGAGCCGAGATCCTGCCATTGCATTCCAGCCTGGATAACGAGTGAAACTCCGTCTCAAAAAATAATAATAATAGTGATGTCACTTTTGATACTTTATTAATATGGCTACTAGAAAATTTGAAATTACATATGTGGCTCACTTTTGTGGCTTGCATTGTATTTCTTTGGTGCTAATTCTAGTGGGTGGTGTTGTTTTCAGCAGGGAAGAGACACGGTTTGGTTTGGGAGTATTTGAATTTCACTGGCTGCACCTATCTGTTTTATATGGTATCTGAGCTGCAAGGGCTCTTTGGAGATGACAGAGATGCATCTTTTTGTAAAGATGAGGAAACCAGGCACATAAGAAATGGGATATGCTATGGGCCACCGAACCAGGGATGGCAGAATCCAGATTAGAACACCACCAAGGCGGCTGGCGGCTTCCTGTCAGAACAATGCTGCCACCTGGTGGCCACCTGTATATGACTGATTCAAGCTCCCATGGCAACAGGGCTCTCTTCAGGGGCAGCACTCTGCTACCATACACTTCCCAGACATCTGCAGAGATGCTAGGACAGGGCAGGTCCTCCTCCTCCTCAACTTTCTTGCTAACCTGATTACGCTGAGCTCCAGCCTGCTAGAAGTGAAACAGTGTGGCAATTAAGGGCACGGTCTATGGCTATAGACAAACATATGCATGTTTAAATCCGTGCTCTGCGCCTTTTTTCTCTGACCCTGTTTCCCCACATGTGAAATGTAGATAATAATAGTACCTCAAAGCAACTGAATGAGGTAATACTTGTCAGTTGAGTCATAAATATTTATAGGATACCAGGTGCGCATTGTCTCGGGTTCTGGGTCAGCAGTGACCTGAACAGAAAAGTCCAGTGGTCACCAAACCCAGTGATTCTCAAAATGTGGTCTCTGGGCCATCAACACCAGCACTACTTGGGAGCTGATATACAAATCTTAAGACCAGGCATGATGGCTCATGCCTGTAATCCCAGCATTTTGGAGGCTGAGGTGGGAGGATCAATTGAGCCCTGGAGTTCAAGACCGGCAAGGGCAACATAGCAAGACCCCATCTCTAAGTAAAGAAAAAGAGAGTCGTCCTGAAGTGGAGGCCAGAGCATAGATGAAGGCATGAGCATCGGATCGCCATGCCTTTCTTGGACGTGCAGAAAAAGCTTGGCCTTAACATAGATCCATGGCTGACCACCCAAAGTGTTGAACAGCCCTGCAAGATTCCTGCTTGATGCCATGCTTTTGAAAAAGAATGGATAGAATGTGCACATGGAATCGGTAGTATCGGGGCAGAGAAAGAGTGCAAGATAGAATATGATGATTTCATAGAGTGTCTACTTCGGCAGAAAATGATGAGACGTGTGAGTACCATCAGGAAGCAGTGGGATGAACTGATAAAGGAAGGGAAGTACACCCCTCCACCTCACCATGTGGGCAAGGGGGAGCCTCGGCCCTGAGCAGAACAGCCGCTGATGTCTGAAGGCTGATTTCCTGTTCTCTGTTCTCCCAGAGAAAAATAAAGGATTGCTCCATCCTAAAAAAAAAAAAAAAAAAAAAAAGAAAGAAAGAAAGAAAAGGAGGCAGGAAGGGAAGGGAAGGAGGGGAAAGAAGAGAATGAAGGGGAAGGAAAATCTTCAGGCCTCCACCCCAGATCTACTGAATCAGAAATTCGGGGTGGGAACCCAGCAATCTGAATCTGATGCGTACTTCTGTTTGAGAAGCACCGACTTGGTGATATCGACGTACATACCAAGTCGAGCTAAGGTCTACACATTTGGCAGCCTAAACAGATAAATAGCTAGAGAATGATGGGCAGAGGTGAGGGATGCTAAGGATCTGTGATGTCAGGAAAGTTTGTCTGAAAGGTGGCAGGTTCCAGCAGAGATCTGAAAGTGAATGTCTAGAGGAAACAGAAGGTCATACCTTCTCCTCTTCAAGACGCTTCCTGTAGACTGCATACAGGACTCTGCTGAAGTCTCACTGGCCACATCTTAGTTGTATGAGTCACACTTAGCTGCCTGGGGAGGCTGGAAATTGTAGTCTTGATTCCTCATTTCTCTTAATTTGATGTTTCTTTTTTTTTTCTATTTTAATATTGCTCAGACCATCCTCCATAAAAATGTAGTTTTTATTCTGATCAGCCATACATGCAGCTAAAAATTGAGACTCCTATTTCCAATAGAAGATGAAGAGAAAGCATACTGGGAAACAATGATCTCTGCCACATGGTGGTTTAGCCCTTGAAATGTGGTTAGTCCAAATGGAAGTGTGCTGTACGTGTAGATGGACAATGGATCTCAGACTTATCACAAAAAAACAGTAAAACATCTTAGTATTAATTTTTTTTTTTTGAGATAGAGGTTTGCTCTTGTTGCCCAGGATGGAGTACAATGGCACGATCTCGGCTCATTGCAACCTCCACCTCCTGGGTTCAAGCGATTCTCCTGCCTCAACCTCCTGAGTAGCTGGGATTATAGGCGTGTGCCACCATGCCTGGCTAATTTTGTATTTTTAGTAGAGACAGGGTTTTCCCATGTTAGCCAGGCTGCTCTCGAACTCCTGACCTCAGGTGATCCACCCACCTCAGCCTCCTAAAGTGCTGGGATTACAGACATGAGCCACTGCACC